TAAAACAATCCACCCCTTCGCCCCAAAATCATTTTGAATACCGTTACTTTTAGTATATATATTACAGCCAACCCCGGCGTTGAGTCGTTCGACGTCACATGCGTTAAGAATCAGTTGCATGGTATCGCAAATATTCCATAGGATGATGAGTCAGCTGCATTTGTAATTACGCCGACTTATCTGAGAATTAATTTCTTCCTCTTGTAAATATTTGCTTCATTTAAGGAGCAGTCGAAATAAGCATATGCAACGTCATTGAATTGAGGAACTGCTTCGGTTAAAATATGACTGACGTTAATGAGGTCATATGTCACACAGACAATGTCGTTTCATAAGTTAGAGTATTGTCATGGGAGTATCCGTTGTACTTCTCTTTCACGTGACATCCACATCTTACTGAAATCCCTCACCTGGACAATCTGAACGCACGGAACACATCAAACAGATCCATTATCAAATTTCCGAATTAAATCGATATCAAAACAGCAATTTTATTCATATTTACGGAAGTTAAAGCGTGCGGTTTCAATCTAAACTTAGAAATGTTAACAACCATAGAGGGTCAGCCACAAATATGTAGTATTGAATAAACAGTCAGACTGGGTTTTGTAGAAAGGTGCGTAGGAGGTGGATAGGATTTTGGTAAGGGTGGGTGGAAGGCTAACTGCCTTACAAGCGAGTGAGTGAGTATGGTTTTACCCCGCTTTTGGCAATATTCCAACAATATAACGGCGGGGAGACCAGAAATGAGCTTCACACATTGTACCCATGTGAGGAATCGAACCAGGGTCTTCGGCGTGACGAGCGAACGCTTGAACCACTAGGCTACCCTACCGCCGCCCTTAGACGCGAAGTGAACATAAAAACACACGATGCCACAAAAGAGTGACGTGTGATTGACACGTGGTTTAAATCTGTACAGTTAATAAAGCTTGTCTGACTAGACACGTTGTGATCCTCTTGTCAGTTACAACAAGTCGAAACGTTTTTAAAACAGGTCAGCAACAATGAAAAAGTCTTGGGTCACCAGCATTTTGTTCAGTTATACAAGCTTAATGGATAGTACAATTTCTTTCCCACCGTTGGATGGAAACCCATTCGAAAAAACTGGTAACAAACACATTTGTGAGATCGACTTCCAGATCCGTGATTGGATATTTTGATGACCCAAGGTCAGATTCTGACGGATTACTTCCAGATTGTAATTCATTGATAATTTTATGCCCTCTGCTGTCGAATTCACTTACGCCTGTGTCGACATTTTATGGTTTTAGTGTGTCGATACATGTTCTTTGGTATCATCAATTTTTCATCATATATCTTCGCCTACATATCTACAGGTAACTGTTTGTGTGGAGGATCACACCAGGTATTGGTAGTTAGCCAAGCCGGATGACGTCAACATATGTTATGTATTCAGTTAAGATGTATATCAGTTTGGCTTCGAATTAATACCGATAGATATTTTAAAACAATCTAAAACTGACATATTATGTCCCATGTGCAAACAATCATAAATTGAGTAGCACTTGTATTTTGTGTTATCTATACCAAAACTTAAGACCTTTGTACTTGCCTATGAAATTCGATTTAAATCCTACTTTACACAAATTAAACACGACGCTGTCAGATGTAAATCCTGAAACATTAAAACATCTAGCAATGTTTGCGTATGATGCAATTCGACATATGTACATAGTGTAACATAATCGAACCATGCGTAATTTATATATCTTGTACCTCTGCTATAGTACTCATGTAAATGTAGAATCAGCCTGTGGCCTCCATCACAAAGAAAACGAAGAGTGACTGACTAATGTATTTATGAGTCACTGTAACCATGACGATAGAAAAATATATTTTGATTCAATGCTAAAACTGTGCAATCTCCATATTACTCGGTAAGATCAAACGATCTCGCCTAGAATGTATCACTGCAATGCAATGGCACGACAATGTTTCGCAGACCAACGTGACGTCATCCATGAAGTCACAACCAAATGACGTCTCACTATCACTGAAGTTATTGGTTGGTTGGTTGTTGTTTAACGCCGCACTCAGCAGTACTTTAGGTATATGGCGACGGTCTGTAAATAATCGAGTTTGGACCAGACAACCCAGTGATCAACAGCATGATCACAACACAACTGGGATACGATGACATGTGTCAGCCAAGTCAGCGAGGCTGGTGGTGTCAGCCAAGTCAGCGAGGCTGACCACCCGATCCCGTTGGTCGCCTCTTACGATAAGCGTGGTTTCCTGAAGAACAATTCTAACCCGGATGTTCACGGGTTCACTGAAGCTGTAACTGTACTATTTACACTGTTGATAAACAGAAACTGTTGGAAGAATGATTTTGTATGATGACTAGAATCTCTCCCTCGCGTCTCCCAAGTCTGGACAAGCTTCGGATATTTATAACTTTTATCAATTCGTCTATATTTGAATTCGGAAGACACCCGAGTGAAATTCTCTGTACAAACATGTACCCACAGGATTCCACCCAGCCCAGGAACAAATCCTTAAAATTACGTTTTTCACTGGACTATCACGTCTTGCACTGTTTACCCGAACTAAAACAGCAACAAGGACCCATTGTGTATTCCCGGAAGTCATGTGACCAAAGTGCTGACACAGATCCGTCGCACTTCCTCCTATGCTGTGTTTCCCACCCGACTTCAAGTAGGTCAGTAGTTATCAGTGTTTACAAATAACATACAATCACACGAAAAACACGCGGTAGTGACAATAATATATGGTACACTGTTTTCATTTAACTCAAAATAAATGTTGGTTTGCCATGGGACACTATGTAACCATATTTACCAAGTTAACATATGGTCAACTAATCTTCCATTTTGTGCTAATCTCTTTCTTCTTGGAACGATAGACCCGGAAGCCCAGCACTATGAAGGTCGTTCTTAGTCAAGGGTACTAGAGGTTCGCTTCTCATTACACCACAGGGGAGCTTTTATCCTCAAGGTAATAAACAAACTTTAAATAAACAAATCACGAAACACGCTTAAAATAAATGCAATACAGCAATACGTGATAAACAAGTTGTGGTCGACCCTGTCTGTCAACGCATACACAGCCAACAGCTAATTTATTCCAAACTGATAGTAATCGTTTTCAGGATATAAGGGGTACATACATACCAATAAAACGTTTAAAAGTAAGTATGTGTCCAGAGAAGAAAGTATGTGTTGTGATATTATGCAGGTGAATGAAGGAATCTAGAATAATGTTAGAAACTGTCACAGGACGTCCTGTTTGTGAACAGTGCTCTGAAAAAGTCTGCCACAAACACGTAAAATACCCAGTCAAAGGTTGGTTTGTTTGTTGTTTAACGCCGCACTCAGAAATATTCCAGCTATCTGTAAATAATCGAGTCTGGACCAGACAATCCAATGACCAATAGCAAGAACATCGATCTACGTCATTGGGATGCGATGACATGTGTCAACCAATCAGCGAGCCTGACCACCCAATCCCGTTAGTCGCCTCTTACGACAAGCATGGGTTTCTGAAGATCAATATTCTACCCGGACCTACACGGGTATGATAAAGAAGAGATGCCAGCTCAACGGCATGCACGAAATTAACAGATACCCGTGGGTCCATCAGAGGAATTAAGGTAACTGCAAACTCATCAGTAGGCTTACACTATTTTGGTCATCCAAAATACGTTTGAATGGCTTGAAAATAACGGAGAGTAAGGTCAAGTTTCGTTAATCCGTACATCTGCACCCCAAGTATTAAGCAACTAAGGGCATCGCCCAGATTAACACGTTTTGACTATATACGATGCAGAATTAAATTTAGTATCGTTACCGTATACCCTTATATACACACAAAGAACTTAATTAAGCACCCCCTGTATTTTTGCAATCATAGGTTTTCAACACGTACATAAAACCTCTCGTGTCTACGCCATTCCTAGTGTAAATCAGCTTCCAATTGGGCCAGGTTCTGTACAGGAGGATGCCTTCGTAGCACACGACGACTCATCATATCCCAGATATGCTCCAAAGGGTTGTGCTCGGGGCTCATTCAATCGTGAGACATGTCAGAACTAAGTTCTTTGTGTATATATGCTTAGACACTTACATGCATCAATTCCATGCACATGTGTATAGAGTGAGTGGAATGAGTGAATATAATAACAATTATCTGTGACGTAAGATTCAAGTGTTTGAGGAACAACTGACCGGGGATCGGCTCAACAAGGCAGCGTACACCCAAATGTTGAGTGATATGCGTATGTTAGTAAACACTAAGTATTATGATCATCAGATAGAGCCGTATTTCCTCTCTCAGCATTAATGCGGATGTCCTGTACATCTTGACCGGAATATGTTTCCTGCATGATACCACTCCTCGTAATATGCACAAGTTCATTCGGTGCATGAACAGTGCACGATGTGAGATGAGGTGAGGTGAAATTGGGTTTAACGTCGTGCTTGAGAATATTTCGCTCATATGACGACGTGCATGCGTGTGTATGTGTATGTGCGGCTCCTTGTACTAGCCCAGACGTAAGCTGGTTTTATAGTGCTAGCCCACTGATATACCATGCCGCAGTGAAGCATGAATACCCCACTCAGACATATTATACTGACTCCGAGCCGACCAGTCCTTGTTGTACCCATTAATACCGAGCGCCAGGCAGGACCAACAAGTGACATATTTTAACGTCTTTTGGTATGACGCGGCCGGGGATCGAACCCGCGACCTTCCGCTCTCCGGCCGGACGCTCTAACCACTACACCACGGAGGCGGTCCGCAAGATGTGGGAGTGATGCATAATTAAATGCATTACATCCTTAAATCATTGATATGACACACTGACACTATCCTTTCAAATGTCACTATATCAATACAAATTATATGAAATATTGGATCATATAATCAGTTAATGAAAGTATTCAAAATTCACAATTACTGTTAAGAAGTTAAAATATGTGTACAAAGGCGCAGAGAATAACAGCCAACACGAATTTGTTATGAACAAATATTTATTATATCAAATCGTGATCATACCAAGATAGAAAATGTAAAGTGAAAGACTTCAACATAGGAAATTTCCTTGAACACATCTGAGACAACAAGACATGAGCATCATATGAAAAAATGATAAAACAGTTTGAAATATTGAGCAGCAAACAAACAAAAGCATGCCTCGAGCACTAGACTAGCATAAATCTATATAATGATATTTAATACACAGTTCATATATCTCTTTTAAAAATCCTGGCGATTTCTGAGGAATTAAGATGACCAGACTTCCTTGTTTAGATTTTGTTTTTCGCAGTGTTGGTACAGGACTGCTCGAACACTAGATCGAAATAAAAGCTCAATTTTGCTTTATGTTAAAAGTTCCAATCCTGCAAACTTTTAACTTGAAACATATTTCATTACATCAAATCAAAATAGTTTTTAAAAAGATCTACGGGCAGATGACATTGCAAAGCAAATGCATAGATACATCATGCAGATTATGTTTATGAAAATTAATATAAAACAAATACATGTATGTTGACAATGAAAAGTTATATGGACAGCTGGCAATTTCAAACACTGGATTACTGCCGTCACGTCACCTGTACACACAATAAGCCGACACGAGTTACCTCCCCTGAATAAACCAAATCTTCGCAGCCATTCAAACATTCCGTAAAGCTGCATCTTATAATGTTGTCAAGCATACTTATTGTATCTAATAGTACCTATTATTGTTGTGTAGTATATGGTATACCATAAATAAAATGATGTGTCTATCTTTGCGAGAATGCTGATATGGTAAAGCAGTGAACTACACAGTCATATTCTATGCTCACTGACCGTTGGACAGTCTTAAAACCCGCTTTGCATTTTGAATTGATACCCTGCCCTCACAATTGTCGTTAGAGTAAAGGAGAAAGTTTTGTGAGCAATATTCTTATTCATCCAGTGAGTGAAATGTGATATTTGCATGACGATACACACGATACACCCTATGAAGTCCATTATGTGAATAAATAGAGAGTATGAATCTAGTGCGTTTCTATTACTTTCCTCCAAAAGAAAATATCGATAATGTGTATTCAAGTCTCAGGCAGATCACCCAATACATATTCTCACCTCATATTGGTGATGCATATTTGATCATACCATCATCAGAATATTATATACAGGTATAAAAATAGTCCGTTAATCGAGACCAGTAACATCACCCCAAAACGATTGTGAGGACAATGGACCATTGACTAATCGTTCGGAACCTGGGTTTTCCTGATTTACGGGTTTTCATTGTGTAACGAAGTTGCACAAGACTTGCACTAGAGACATGGTATGTCTATAGCGTATTTTGGCACATGATATGACGCATTCATGACTGAGCATTTATTACAGAGAATACGGTATAACCCCCACCTCCGTGTCCTGCCAGTTATCTGCGTATCTATGTTTATACTCCAGGCCTCTTGGCCTCTAGGCATGGATCTTTACGTTAGCAGGTGGAGGAGGGGCGTTGTAGAGCTTCAGACGGTGCAGCAGGTTGACGAAGTGGCCGAGGTCGATGGTGTTGTCGTCAGTCCCCGTCGTCTGGAGGAAGAATTCAATCTCCTTATCCTCCAGGAGACGCCCCGTGGCTGTCTTGAGTGTCTTCAAGCCAATCCTCGCCTCCTCCACATCCAGCTTACCGCTCCCATCCGCGTCAAGTTCCCGGAATTTTTGCACGATCTCTTGGGCGCTGAAATAATGAATGAAATCTTAAGACTAAATTACAATTAATCCTCCTCTTCCGTCATACATAAAACATATATATTTAAAAACCTCAAATTTTACCTCAGAAAAGAATACTTTTGTACACTCTAGCTTCTAAAGGTCAGTTTTGCCAGAATCAGTAGCTGGTTGCGATTCATAATAAAATGTAAATTCAACGTGAAACGCACTATGCTGCTTACTATTTCCTCGTTGATGTGTATAGCACTCATTAACAGACATCAGGGGTCCACAGACTTTGGCCTTACTGTGTTTCTCGGATTTATCTTTGGAAGTAGAATCATGTCACTGAATCAAAAGCGGAGTAGGGCGTCTTCATGGCAATTATGCTAAGTAAGCGGCTTCCACAGTTTACCAAATTTGTCAGGCCTACGCATCTTTACACCAAACATTGGCGGCGCGCAGAGAGAGCATGGAACCAGTTTAACTGAACAGGGGTCGTATTTTAAAAAATAAAAAAATATTAGAGCGCTTATGAATTCTTAACTATAAGAATTTAAAAAAAATAATTTAGGTCTGATCCTTAACTTTAAGTAAATTTTAAGAATCTTTATGAACACAGCCCCAGATCTTGCTCCAATAAAGGCATAAAGTCTGAGCACAATCTCTATGACGTAGCATTATACGTGACGTCAACAATACAGTGACGTCATAAATCCCAGTTAATGGAGAACGGCATCAAGCTGTGTCGAGCCTTGAACTTCGTCGCGGCTGCTCGCTGTCATAGCTGTATCAGTGATGTACAGGTGTATGTCCTCACCGGATCTACAAGATCTCTTTCTCAACCACAACAACAACAGAGGAAAGAAGGGTGACAAGTCTTCCCAAGCCAGAGCGAGTAGCGGGCAATGGATCCCTTCAACGTCGGCCCAACTGCAACTGACCCCGGTCCGAACCTGGCGTCCCGCTCAGCGTGATGTGATGCGGCAGTTGAGGAGTGAAGGAATTATTGGGAACCGCTCCACATGCAGAGCTGGGGACCAGAGGACGACCAGGGTACCTCGGCCGCAGAGACTCAAAGATAGACTCGAGAGGGTTCATAAAACCGGTTCGAGTCTTGAAGAAAGACTGGAGCTCGCTACAATATTGAGAGAAAAGGCTCTGTGGGACCATGGCCGTATGGCGAGGCAGAGTGACGCGCGCAGGTCGCGGATTACAGATATGCAGAACAGGGTTCAGGAAGAGCTGAGGCAGCAAATGGACGATAAGTTGAGGAGAGCGAATGAGAGGAAGAGACAACAGTTGGCGGAGAGGGTAGCCCAGAGGCGGAGAAGAGACTTAATGGGCTGGGGGGAGCTTGAGTGAAGTCTTCTTAGACTGGGGAGTGGAATATAGAGAACTCACCAATCATGTTTCTGTTATTTTACACTAACTTCTACATATTGTACTTGCTTGATGATATATAAATTTGATTTATCTGTTACGATGTTCAATAGTCAAAATAAACTGTTGAATGTCAAACGCCCCATATCTGGGATTTTTTATCAAATTTGTTGGATTTAATTGGATTAAATAGCTCTAATACCACACGATTAATAATTTCATTCTGACACCTTTATCCTGGTATAGTATATATACCACAATGTCAGAATTCTGTGGATGGTTAAAAAGGATAAATTTCATCCACAGAGTTCATAAAGTACATGTACAAAGTTGTAAATATTTTCAGTGTGGTTGCACAGGTTTGTCGTTACATTTGTTTTGTTCTGTAGTGTAAGTTTCAGGCTCTGGTAAGGGACCGTTCATAATTTATGGCGTGTGTGATGATTTTCAGGGGGGTCACCCATTTTGTTCTGGGGACGTTGTGGGTGTGTGGAGGGCTCATAAATTTTGTACACATGGACAAGGGGTAGAGGGGCGTCATTGATTTTGTACATGACATTCAGGGGGTAACTTACTTTGTATTATTAATTTAAGGGGGGTGGGGGTTGCATTCACACTGTACATGCTGCTCCATTAAAATCATCATCACCCCAAAAAATTGAACGGTCCGTAAGGACTCTGCAGTAGCCTATTGGTAAAATCTATTGCTAGACATGCCGAGGACCTGTGTTTCTTTCCAAATGGTTGCCCTGTCTCAATGGGTGTCTCTTGACAGTGTAGTATACAGTTTGTTTCGTTTTACTGTAATATTTAGCAGGTAAATCGCCACTATGCCTAGTACCGAAATTACAACCGACAAACATCTATAAGTGAAATCATGCCGTAGACGAACATAGATAATACATTTCAAGTTACATCGTCCAAAACGATGTATATATACGTAACTTAATGTATAGTCCATTGTCCCCATTGCACCCTGGGATTTACGAGGTCTCACACTATGATATGATTCCCGTTATACTTACTGGTCGCCAGCACAGTCGAAGAACATCTTGAACTCCCAGATGCTCATGATGTTGTCATTGTTCTTGTCGAAGTTGTGGAAGATGTTGTCGGCCTGTTCGTCGTCAAGTCCAAACTCTGCTTTCAGCATATCCACGGCTTCTTCCTTCTTCAGCTGTCTGACGTTGTTCGCCTGGTACTTGGAGAAAACCGCCAACACGTTCTCTCTGAGGACGCCAATACAAAGGGATATTAAAAAATACATTATCTTGCGCCTCATATTATATCAAGGAAATAGAAAAGGTATTTTCAGTGTATTTTTTGTTACTTATTAGTTGCACTGTATTGGATAAGTTAATATGATATTGTTTTAACCCCGTTTTGAAAAAAACATCAACATTTTAGTTAAATCACGACAAGGCAGTTTAAAGTTTTAGATGATGACGTTTACGGGTTTGGTGAAACCAGGACTACGTGTGTGGTGTGGACAAACCAAGTATCACCATCGGGACTGTCTGGGATTCAAACCCAGAAGACGCTTATCACTTAGGTGAAACAACCATCACATTGGAAGAGTCCTGTGCTGACAGATCGAGGATGATAACCAAGGAATGTTGTATATCGTACACAACCCTACTCTTGACATGGGCCGTATTTCCACACAGTAATTGACTGCACCCTTCACCATTTGGTTGGATGACAGAATATTTTGATGACAGCATGAATATCATTATGAATAACAAGTGACTATTTGCACGACTTCAGATAACTGTCACTATTTATAAAGTACTTACGGGACTTTCCTGTTTCTGTTCATTGTGGACCTCTGTTTGTACAACCTGAAACAATGAAGACTGATTTAATCGGAAGGTATACCTTTGTGAAGCGCAGGTAAACTGTTAACTACTATCCTATCGTCAAGGGCCTCTTCTGCATAGTGATCTGAGCAGTACTGCTGTCATACGTTTGTTTCAGCAAGTACTACAGAAGCAAAGCGTGGTTAAAACCAGTAATGTTCAACAGCATCCTCGACAAAGGCCTGACTGTACAGTTTGAGCGAAGAGAGCCGACTGAACACTTCTAGAGTGAGTGAGTGAGTTTAGCTTTACGCTGCACTCAACAATATTTCAGCTATATGGCGGCGGTCTGTAAATAATCGAGTCTGGACCAAACAATCCAGTGATCAACAGCATGCGCATCGATCTGCGCACCTGGGAACCGATGACATGTGTCAACCAAGTCAGCGAGCCTGACCACCCGATCCCGTTAGTCGCCTCTTTCGACAAGTATGGGTTACTGAAGGCCAATATTCTAACCCGGACCTCTACGGGTGAACACTTCTAGATTCTATGCAATCACACATTATATGTTAAAAACTGAAGTTGGATAGAGACGGTAATTTTGATAACGGCAACACAATAAGGTTGTACATAAACAAACCCGAACATTTCATATACTTTTCTATTCGATACTTTTTTAGTAACAAACTTCAAATTCAACCCATTTACATTCCATAGGCTTTAGTCTGTGACCTGTTTCCTTCCGCCTACAGTCATGGGGAATTCTGACATGTTTTTTATGTTAGGTAGTATTAGATGAGCAAATACAGAAAACATAGACAGCATGTGACGGTTGATTGGCACCCTTTTTGGTCAGAAACAACAGACAATATATGCACTGGTACTGAGTACCGGTACTGAGTGTATTTCTTGACTGCCTGTAAAAGACATGGTCATGGTCAAGTCCAGACATGGTAAACCATAGATGATGCACACATTGCGCACGAAGACACAGAATCGGATTCATATACCAAGTTTCTATCTCGCTCGGCTTATACAGCAGGCCACGGAATCCAACCAACGAGGTGAGTTACTGACGAGCTGTGTGGGGTGAGGTGGACGAGTGAAGTGAGGTAAAATGGGCTATTAGAATATGATAATACTTACATAGTGACCTGCATGCATGTTTGTATGGAGGGCTTTCTTATTTCGAGTGTGCCCGTGCGTGTGCGCGTGTGTGCGTGTCTTTACTGAGCATCAGCTCAGTGGCAACCGCCAGCTCTGCCCGGCAGACCGTCACAGCCATAGCGAAACGAAATGCATCTCAAAAAGAAGTAACGGTTACCTATTCTAGTGCATCTCCACGAAAATAAGAGTCGAGGCCGTGGCATTGTCTTATAGTGCTAATTATTTATGGCTTACTGCATTGGCAGCCAAATGAAAAGTGAGAAAAGTCTTCCTGCAACAGCATGCAGGGTTGATTATCCGCCAGAGTTTCTGTCATTTTGACATATAGCCGTCCCTTGTTACTGTCTGTTTCTCTGGCGCTTGCATGGAAGCGATCGTATACCAAATGGGGCTATTATAACATGCGATGGAATCGTAAATAACAATTAGGGCATTCACATTTTCACACTCACGTGTGATCTCATGTTAAATATTTTCAAAATGACCGAAAGGACCATCACTGGGACAGAAACTCACAATTGTCAGTAAAAGCATTTAACTTCTCTGCGCTGTAGTCTTTCTCGACGCACATTAACCATATACTTTTTACAGCTCATACTGCAATTCTACAGACTTACACGAAGTAGGTCTAAATCTTCTAAACGTTCTAAATCTCCCATCTTATTGGGACTCCTATAATTTGCATTTATATGCAGCTGCTGCCAAAAGCATATATTTTCAGAAACTAAGCGTTAGTTTGTTTTGTTGCAGAACTCGGTCTGAGGAAGAATGTTGTCACAAATTGTTAGCTGAAATGGATATAACGTACCTCATTTATATGTGGTATGTGTCTGTACTGCTATATCGTTGTACGTGCTGTGTTTACATATGTAGTGTATAGAATATTGAGACTGTTTCTTCATGGAATGCTATGCAATATATATCTTATCTTATCCAGGTCTCGGAAGCCAGAACGCCAGTTACTGTGTGATTCATGATAATGTTCCGTGTTCTAAACGTGTCTGTCTGTAAGGTCAAACCTAGGTCAGCTCGATAATGATCTTCTTCCATATCATTACTCCCGGTATGCCGCAGACAGTGAATTCCACTGCCTACCATTCGTTATATTATAGCTGTCTGCACTGATAAACACGTACAGTTGTGCAACTATCATTCTGGGCGTATGTGCATAAATATATATAAACCGGGCACTCGTACATATATGAGTGAGTGAGTGAGTTTAGTTTTACGCCGCACTCAGCAGTATTCCAGCTATATGGCGGCGGTCTGTAAATAATCGAGTCTAGACCAGGCAATCCAGTGATCAATAGCACGAGCATCGATCTAAGCAATTGGGAACCGATGACATGTGTCAACCAAGTCAGCGAGCCTGACCACCCGATCCCGTTAGTCGCCTCTTACGACAAGCATGGGCTACTGAAGATCAATATTCTAACCCGGACCTTCACGGTCTCGTACATATATGTTGTGACAGGGCGGATGATCTTCATTTAATTTAGTGAACGTATATGGTTTTACGCTGCATTTGTCAATATTCCAGCAATATCCCAACACATACCACCCATGTCCGGATCGAACCCGATATCTCCATGACGAGAAACAGATTTAACCATTTGGCAACCCCACCGCCCCTCTTCATTTAAGTCATGATATGTGGTGTTAAATGTTAACTCACTCATCATTTCATGACAGCCCTTTTGACAGATAGTTTGTATAAACCCAAGATATACACTGAAATCATCACAAGCCTGTTTATTTCACCATGTGATGCACCATAGAAGCAATCTTAGGCATGCGTGTCTGTACAATATTTTTTGGGCCAGTTAATCGGGGATTGTCCAGCAAATTAGGGGAGTGAGTACAGAGGTACACATTATGGCGCCCGACACTTGTCGGTATCGTCTATATGCATTAAGGTGCTAGCAATCTGTATTCCTTCGTGACGCAGATATAGGTAATACACTGTGAACAAATCTACCTTATGGGAAACCGTTTGCGTTTGTTACTATTGAAATGATATTCCGACCAGAAAAAGGCTATGAGAATCTTTACTTCTTGGATCAGGGTTATGTTGAAACGTAATATTTGATTGATATTATTCTGGAGCTGTTCCGTGCTCCAGAACAAACGCATGCCAAAACATTAAATAAATCGTTACCTTACCATGTACCACGCAAAACATACACAGACCAAGGGTGTATATATTGTATATACGTCTTTGTACCGACCTACACGCATACGATAACTATTTTATCTCGCAGCACGAGAGAGCCAACAGCAACAAATCTGCAGATATTTAACACGCGGTTTCGGGAGAGGCTTCGGTTACCACGGCAACAATCAACAGTAGCAAGATGGAGTTGTGAGATTATCTGAGGGTTATTTTCATGAGGCGTTCACCCCTCGAGGTTGGCCTTGATGTGCAGCCTACGTGGAGAATAGACAAACAGAACACATGTGAACACAATGTGCGGTCGTCTATCTAGCAGAGCTTGATATCACAGTCGTCACGATGTCGTGCAAGAAGTCTGAAGATGCCAGCCATATAAGTCTCTGTGTCAGTAAACATGATGGTACCGTGGAAATGAAGCACACATTAATTAACTTATCTATGTGTTCACAGCAGTCCCGCAAACTGACTCTTTAAACCTACACCAACACTCTGTATATAAATACACTGTTGGGGGATGTTGACTCTGTCATTATTTGCTGTCCAGTTCAATGACTATTTACCTTCAAACACATGAACAGCCACTTGGGGTCATAATAGCTCCCTTGTAACTAAAGAAACGAACTAAATGTGTTGATGTTTTATAAGTGTAATTCACTGCTATTCAGCTTACCAGCTCTCGTGTATTTCGGCGACCACACGGACATACACTCACGCACGCGCGCGCACACACACAAACACACACACTCCCTTCTTTCCACCACTCTCGTCCTGTCAGCTCTATCAGACTATAGTCAAACCATCTGCACTTGAAACTTTACTACACACACACTGTTCTACCAACGTAACTGTTCCTATGCTTTACACGTAGATGCAATGTACGGAGAAGTAAAACACTTTATGTTTCTTCAGGCGGACGGCCAAGATACCAAAGTCTCATCAAACTGCAGATGTTTACCAGGCACCAACGAAGTGCTCTACTTAGTACCCATTAATATCACTCGGCCCGTCCATGTCCAGTGATCCACACACAGCACGTCTGTTAGTCTGTCTCACAGTCCCGAACCACATTATTTTCCCCACTGCCAAGCCCTCTCTGCAGTGCTAAAGCCCTAAATAAAGCAAGTCTAGATTTCCTCAGGTTCTGAATCTCTGGTCTCCCTGGGGCTCCTTTTCAATTTAAATGGGCTTGTTTCGTTACTATCAAAATTATATATATTCAGAGACTAAGCATCACTACAGGTCTGTGTACATAGACAGTTGACCGCACAGCTGACCACCAGAACGTCCAAGCATCCCCAACAGCTGGCACAGGGCGGTCTGACATTGATACCCTGATGGCATGTCCTCCAGTCTTCCAGCAACACGCGGCTTTCATTATCTTGGCAGGGTCGGGTTATCATAACAGCTCTCATATTTACTGCAGTAACAAAGTAAGTGAATGACTTTTTCTGAAAGGTAGTGACATGCCAGTCTCTGCCTGATGACGTTGAAGAATCAGTGAGAGGATACGTGAATGATTTTGATTCTGTGACGCAGTATTTAGGCATGCAGTGATTAATCAGTTTACTATCGGATGAATACCAAACGTCACACATGTTTAACCCCCTCGTGAAATCAACGATCGTGGTGCTGGCATTCTGAGGATGTTAGCAGGACTTTCTTGGGCATAAACCCGAGACACTCCGGGTACAGGCAGTACTAAGGACACTGGGCAATCTTTGCTTTCTAATGAAGCCTAAACAACACGCTAGCCTCTCTTTCAGCAAATATCTAATAAAACAGCACACACCCAGTCTGTCTCACAGTCCCCTGAACCTCATTATTTTCTCTACTGCCTAGCCCTCCCTGCAAATGCTAAAGTCCTAGATTAAGCAAATCTAGATTCCTCAGGTTCAGGCTGAATCGCCCATCTCACTGGGGCTCCTTTTCAACATAAATAGGATTATTTGTTACAAACAAAATTATATATATTCAGAGCCTAAGCCTTAGTCTACCATTCCAATGTCGTCGTTTCCTTAGAAAAGCTAACTGCCAACATATAATCATCCCTTAATTTGCCGCTTCGTTTCATGCACGAAGGTTCACTTCACCCTTATATTATTTACTATCCTGCACGACTATACAGAAGCGGCTATGTGATATAACGTCATCTGTATACCACCGTTAATGCTAGTTGGCACTGTGGTGCCAGTGTTACCTGACCCTCCGTTACATGTGGCATTCGTTAACTCCGGTATTACCTTCGTTATCTGAACAACTCACATTCAGTTAATGAATGTTTTAGCTGAAACACTGTGGCATATGACGTTTACGCATCAACACGTACATAACTTCATCCAAATAAGTCTGTTATATTCCAGGCTATGTATCTATGTAAGTGTTGTAAAGCTTCACGATCATTTCTCACTATTATCACGAAATGTTATAGTAAAAGTGACACTCGTTAAGCCGAACTGCTTGATGAGACATATCTTAACTCTTCAGGGTTTCGGGACAAGCGGTTTGTCGATACAAGAAAGGGAAATAACGTTTAGAAGAACCTAGTCACATATATACTACCCATCAAAAGTTTAGACTCACCAGTGTAAATGTAGCCACTTACTTCAGTCAACTGTTCTAAACTTGATTTTGCAAAATATTCCATTCAGTTTATAGGTACTGTTTACACATGAACAAATGTATTGTAAAGCTAATTCGTAACGTTAAAAAGATTATTGTCATGAGTTCAGTAAATGATGAAAATCAGTAAAAATTGGCGAATTCTTAACAAAACATTACAGCAAAACGCAGCTGTTCACATGAACGATATTAATCTGCATAAAGTTTGCAGTTGGTTCCCCCAAGTTAGTGGAGAAATTCATCTTCGATTTAACCATATATATAGACATAACATATAGTGAGTCCTTTAGGTGAGTCTAAACTTTTGATGGGTAGTTTATTAACAATATAAATCAAAACTATATCTATCGCTAGTTCATCAGCCTGTCTCTCTGTCATTGAACCATGTGATGTCCCTTCGTCCTGTCTGTAATACAAAAGCCCCAAATCAGAGACCATATTATATGGTCTCTGCCCAAATGAAGCAATCCTGATTTTCCTCAGCATGCCCCGTCAGACTTGGGATCCGTTTCAATTTATCCAGAGTTATTTACTTATATAATATATTTCCATAGACTAAACTTCAATCTACCAGTTTATATTTATTATGCTACTCACTAATGTTCCAGCACGTCTTATACCACAGTCGTGTCCAGTGTACTGCGAGGACACACAAGGAAATAGACGCCAAAGTCAAGTCCAAGAAGCGACGTCGAATTTACGGTTACTTTCAATTTGTCACCAGTAGTTTCAATACAAACATAATCCTTATCAATTGCAAGATATGGACGGTAATACCAAAGGCAATTCGCTCAGGAGACGGCTTATCTGTTCGTCTAAAAAAAAACAAGAAGACTTTCATCCTTGTACTTTGGCTGAAATCGTTTTCAATGTCCAGTGCGTTCACTCGAACCACAATGCGTCGATACATCTTGACACTGGTTCTTAATGGGCAGATTCCTGTACATGGAAAAGCACCAAGGTAAACCTCGTGGTTTGAATAATGCCCAAAATGGAAGGAACAATGATCTCGTGTTTATATCATATAAACTGTATGAAAAACTCGAGAGACGGTGTTAGCATGGATCACTTACAGTATTTATAGGTTTTACGATGGGAAGAAACATATTGAACTTCGTAAGGGACCATATGAAGTACTCGATGGAGGGTGTTACAGTAATGATACATTTTAGAAAGGAACCTGTCTGTGCTGATAGTATCTGACACCCCATAAAGTACACACGCCACATCGACTCATATAAAATGATTTCTTGTCTCTCTCCTTGTCTGAAAGCATACAGCTAACATCTAGATGTCTGGGACGCACATGGACATAGCAGAGAGCTTGTGTAAATGTCATGTTCTGGAGTCCATGGCAACACTAGAAGAAGATAACACATGAAGCTACATCCACACTTGAAGCCTGTGGAGAGAGTCGCCGGTTAAGGTACCTACCTTGTAGCGTGTATCCTGCACTGCACTTCCTACTGTAGTGTGTACGGTGCACAGACGCGGGCTCTAATACCGTGTTGGTTCCTGTAACCTGATCTGGCTGGATGCACCCACCGAGATTCCACCGTGATGTTCAGCGCCCTGTGTTACGTGGCCGTTTACCGTAGTTCATGTAAGGTCTACATGGAAAGAGGTGTTTTGGGAAGATGAAGTCAGGCTTCAAACGGAACTTTACACATCCACATGTATATTACTAATAATTAGCATAATGATGATGATGAAGACTTCGAAGATGATACTCAATTTGTATTACCCTTATCCAGTTCGTGCTCGAACCCACATTATTTCACTGGCTCACTAAATACTGCAATTTTTTGTTGTTCATTAGGCTCGTTGTTTTATACAATTTATCGACACATTTCTTGTATGTATATCATGTAATGATTTGCTGATTTGTTTTATGTGGATTTTACTATAGACTGCAATTTCTACAGTTGCTCATCAAAACGGGTTTTTTTGTTTATATGATTCTCCGTGTGTGTGTGTGTGTGTGTGTGTGTGTGTGTGTGTGTGTTATATGGACGTCTTATTTCAAATTTCAGTAATAATTTATATTCTACTGCACTCCAATAATACCTGGAAATATTAATATAACATTTTACCATGTCAAGTAACTACTTGTAGTAATATGGAAACGTTTGACTGTAATTTCATGTTCGCCACCCACGTGAGTTTATTGAGACGTATACGGTACACATTAACGCCCTTTTATATGTAGCTCCAGGCCATCCCCTCATCTACACGCTCTGCCAGACAGGGGGGCAGATTACCTCACGTTCTATCCGCGTCGAACACGTCATATACTAGTTCAGTGTTATGAGACTTACCTCTGATATCTGTAGCTGATGACCACGCGTACTCAAGAGTGTGTGGGTGGCGCAGGTGTAGCAGGGGTGTGTCGTAGGGCGGAGGTGTTGGGGTACGGCAGGATGAGTTCTGGCCCCGATTTCTCGAAACAAACTTAAGTATTTACTCAAATTCCAAACTGAGTTTGACAATTTGAAACACCTGAATTTTTAACTCAACTATATTTTTTAAAATAAAAAAGCCCAAACAAGTTAAGTAATATATCCACCAAACTCAAATTGTCTACTATGTTTGAATTTAATATCGATTTCAGTTCATTCTCTGAAATGCATTTTCCTGCGTTTTCTCAAATTTGAGTAAAAACTCTAACTTAAGTCAGAACTCAGACTTAAGTTTGTTTCGAGAAATCGGGGCCTGGTCATTGTTGGATATACACATACAAGGAAAATGATGGAGGAACAAAAATATAATTCACCGCCATCTATCGAGGATAGTGATGATGAGAGATTACGATGATGAGGATTATAGTTATTATTATCATGAGAAATATTTCCACATATTCCCGTATCAAGATCAGATCTATTTGTTAACATTCATATTTTTTTACCTAACAGTGATTATCCAGTTTTATTTGATATTGGATTGTTGCCATGACGATGTTCATTGTTATTGTCCAGAGGGCGTTACAGTGGCACTGATGCTCACAATGAACATGATTATGGCATTAACAACTATATATAGGTTTCTGAATCTTATGAACATAACATATTGAACACTGTGTGACATCAGCTTGGAATCCGGACCGAATTCGGAACCCTGGAATGTCATATTTGTTCATTTTTGGACAGATGTTTTCCCAATATTGCTACTGGCGAACATTGTTATGCTCAGACATATCGTGTCCTAATTATAGGTGGACACTCTTCAAATCTTAGTTCAGTCTCCTGATCCAGGCATATGGCACGGTACAGTTGATATTAGTCTGTCTCACAGTCCCTGAACCACATTAATTTCCCTACTGCCAAGCCCTCTCTGCAGTGCTAAAGCCCTAAATAAAGCAAGTCTAGATTTCCTCAGGTTCAGGATCTCTGGTCTCCCTAGGGCTCCTTTTCAATATGAATGGGCTTGTTTGTTACTATCAAAATTATATATATTCAGAGACTAAGCCTTAGTCTAAGTTGATGTGTCCATGGCAAGTTGTTCTTGGTTTCCCTTCCAGTGTACAGAAGCCGGTTCAGTACTCCGTCTGTATGGTAGATTACATAAATGTTTACACTCCATCACCACTACGCATTCCACTGAAATAACCAGGAGATGTGTAAAACAGTGCTGACTCACAGCGCTCCACAGTGCTCCCCGCCACACCTGGCTCGGTGTTTATTGATGCTGCCCTGATGGAAGGGGTAGGCAGCTTGTACAAGCCTCATCTCGATCACAGGCCATGAATCATCAAGCGTTGGGTCAGATTACAAATAACACTCGTATCTGTAATGCACATTTAAGCAATATACATCTACTTTTTAAGGTTTGGAATTAGATTTTTTACCCTCATGTAATATTCCAAGAAGCCACAACAAACTGACTATGCGTTCGCCTGGTTGTTTACAGCTGATGGGAAGAGGGTGGGGACATGTTGTTTGTTTCTTACAAATTACACCATTCACTGTTCCCGAAGCCTGATAGATTTACCATTTTCTTCCCAGATAACCCATTGTATCCCGTAAACGTCTACAGCACTAGTCTAGATGGGAACAAAGAAATAGGTAACAGTTCTGGTAGTAGACGGCGTAGTATAGCTGAGTAGTGGGTGTAGTGCAGTTAGTCACCGGAACTGGGGTTGTCTGGAATTACTATAATCGTTGGTATCGGTGGTATCTGTGACGTATAAAACTGTTACGTGTCGATTTCCATGTTGAAACAATAAGTAAACTAAATCTGGACGTAAAAGAATTCAGAGTGAAATCAACAACAATAACAAAAATACATATTTTACAATTTGGAAGTGTCAGTATGAAATATAATAGCCCTAGCAAAGGCAATAAAGTCAGTGATGATAATAATCCCAAACAAGTCTTGTTTGTTTTTTCATGGGTGAAACTCTCCACAGATTGATGGTCTTGATGAACTGTGAGATGACAGAGAAAGTTTCCAGGAGTTTCTCTACTAAGTTGGACTGTTCCATAAGATTCCAGATTACTCTAAACTCTCTGCCTAATACAGTAACAGGTGCAAACTTTATGGATGTCATCCTCTTTATTGTCAGGAACACATAATATCAGTAGACTAACAACTAGTCTCTGAAATGAACATATTTTACTGAAAACGTTCATGGTAAAAAAATATATATATAATGAAAAGGCCCTGAGACTTTCTTCATTTTCAGAAAGCTGAAGCTGAAGCTGAGGAAATCTAGACTTGCCACATTTTCTAGACTTGCGTGGGCTTTCTTGGATATATTTGCTTAAGGGTCTGTACGAGAGACTAATAATATCATGTGCTCCTTATAATAGACATCCATAGTGTTCATCATAATGAAGAAGTTGACATTCAGAAACTTTCACTTTTCATTTGGATCACTTCTAAATGCCGTTCACAGACTTTAAATATAGTCTCTATCTCACCATGGCTCTCGTCTATAAGTATTTTGATTGTGGCTTATAAGTCACAAACATCGCGTACGTGTTGCAAAGCACAACATATATGAATTAGAGTGTTGTGGAAAGTATATCACGATAAATCATGATTTTGTTGAATCGCCCGTGCATGATATGCACCAACAGTATAACAGCGATCTCGACCTTTGGAATCAAGCTAAAAATGCCGAAGTGCGAGAATGCGAGATCGCGAGAACGCGAGATTTGGCCAAAATCTCGCGTTCTCGCGATCTCGCATTCTCGTGTTTTTGGTGTTTACAGTTCTGTGTCACAGTTTGGTCAGAATCAAAGGTTGGTTATTATACATTATAATTGTTACATTCATAGTAAACTAAACCCTAATATTAATCATTACACAAAATAGGTATAAATATGCCAATGATAACAAAATAAAAGTCAATACATTTAACTTGTATGAATGTGCTTATGGTTGTCTTCTGTATGTCCAGTCAATTTGCTGGCTAGTAGTTCTTGTTTGGTAACTATTTTTTGTATCATGTAAGATTGATGTATCTCATCTATTATGTATATTGTATGTACTTGACAAAGATTACATTTGATCAGTGTGTGGTACTTATATGGGATTATTGCATGCGTTCACTGTCCGGGTGCTGGATGTGCAGACACTCTCGTGCCACCCACAGGATAGGTTTCTTTGTACAGTATCTACAGTATATTTAATCATTATACTATGTATTATTATAAGTCTTTATGTCAACACTCGTTTTGTATATCACTGTAAACACGTGATCACGTAGGTCACCTGTGTTATGTTACATCGTGTAATACCTGTATATGATTGTTGATAGGCACATTTATGCACTGTATTTATTATGATGACATGTTCATCAGATGTTATTTTATGTTATGTATATCGTGTATGTTATTGTTATTTCAGGGTGTCTTCTTCCACCACGATATGGAAATAAACAGATATCTCACTCATAACCCGTAGTCTGTGGTTAATTACACATTGGAACTCCACTATATCATGGCTGCCACAGAAACACAACTATTAGCGATACAAATACATTTCTGTTTCTTGGAACTTGGAGACGAAAGAATAAGGCAGGATGTCTTGTAGTCAGGCGGGAGCGGAAGAAAATGTATTAATTGATATTTGATGGCCAAAACTAGCTAATATGGTGTCGAGTAAAACACACTCAGTCTAGCCGACTGCTACAAATTGGCCTGTTAGAATTTCACTTTCATGTTTTCACTTTTATTAGACATTCATATTCACAATTTCGTTTGTTAAATTATATTTAAAACGATGAGGATTTTTAAGTACATAGGAAATTGTAACAACGGGAGTGTACTTATATACACTACCCTACACTTCGTGTATGTAAATTACATGATAGCATTTTCAAGCTATGTCATAATTTTGCTAAATGCTACTTGGGAAATGAAAAGCATGAAGAAGCGTGACCATAGCACAACTAACATGCGCATTCGCCTTGACCTTATGATATTATGCATGCGCAACGACAGCGTCTAAACGCGAGATCGCGAGAACGCGAGAAAATGAAGCGTCGCATTCTCGCGATTTCGTGTTTT